ACGATATATGTTGGTATTATGACTGGTTATTGTTGACAGATGTCCAAGCTATAAAAGAAACACAACTTTAGACATGTATGTCGACTACATGTGTCGTTAGCGCCATCCATGTGTGAAACCCGGAAACTTAGTTGCGCACATAGTAATAGATCCATTGCGAACTCTCGATACTGATTTGCGTAGATATAAAAGAGAAGAGTTTGAGTTTACTTTTAAAATACTCTGTGGAATAAGTGTGAAAGAAGGGCATTGCTTGAAAGCATACACGTTTGTGAATTAAAAAAAAATATCTAATATGGTGATGTTCAAGATTGCAACGTCCTTATCATATACTCAAAACAAATACGCAATTATTATTCGAAAACGTCTTCGAAATTGGAATGATCATGCTTGCTCTACGTGATAACGCGTCTATCACGCAGCTGATCCCCACCGACATTGGGAAGCTGCATGATCGAACAGACATTATAAACATTCGTTCAAACACAACCGTTGTTAGAGCCTTATTAGACGTTCACAACACAGTATAATAAATTGTTCTGTTAAACGATTATCAGTATATCAAAGTCTTCTCCGAACTTTATCTGGCTCGTCAGTCTTCTCACTCCATGAGAATTCTCTCCTCAATTTAGTTCATTGCCACTCTTCAACTCTTATCCGCTTTTTATATGAAAATATCCTAGACAAATTCGCATTTTTCTTAAATTTTTCCATTTCTTTTCGCTTCCTATGAAGCCAATCACCTCGCATTCTTTTTGGCCGGTTCCGGCATTTCCGTTTGCGGAAAAAATTTCAATCGTTCGTAAACATAAAACTGGTTCTTTGAGCCGGATCGAAGGTAATTCGGTGTCTTTCGGTTATTCAACCGTTTGGGGCACGAGCTAACTCGTTTGACAAGGACATCTCTACTCAAGGCAATAAGCATTGCTGCAAATAATTGATCGCTCCTTGGAAAAGTTTAAGAAGATCGGCAAAAATAACTACACGGCTGCCAAAATTCGATATATCAGCGTTAAAAGAGATATGGGAGCAATGTATTCAGTGCCACGCTGCTCTTCTACAGACAGTTCTGGAGGCGAATTGAAACTCCCTCGAGTACTTTCACAGCTCTTCATACGCGCTCTGCACTCGCTAATGATGTCTGTCAAACAACGTTGGATTATATGTCTGTAACAACCGTACTCCGCGTGTCGGTTGGTGTCGTTGCCGCGGATGTATTCGCTCGTCGGAGTCCGGGTTCGTGAAATAAACGGACGCGGAATGTAAAATAACAAAAAGATTTATTTAGCCTTGGTACAGAGTGTTCGCGTATTAGTATACAAAGTTTCTGGGTGACGGCGCCAGCTACCGGATTGCGGTTTCGGTAGGCCGCGATAGGTAAGTCGGTAGGCGGAGCGTATAGCGCGATGGCTAGGCTCGCCTCGGAGATTCGGCAGGCGGTCGCGTGTCGTGATTCGGTGTTCGCGATTCGTACGCGGTTCGCGTGGCTGGTCGCGGGGACCGCGCGGTGTCGGCGGTACCGAAGTCGTAGCACAGTGTCGTATGCTGTCCTCGCGGTTTTGACAGCTATGCGTTCGCTTGCCCGTCGGCGTCGCAAGAGACGAGATGAGGCGTGAGTAGCCGATGTATCGGCGTATTCACACCCGATCTCGCTCGTCGAAAGGTGACGAACAAGGGTCGAGAAAGCTCGACAGAGCGCAGCTAGCTTACTGGCTTCGGTCCTTGTTCGGGATGTCGACGGGATGCAAACTAGAGTCGATAAAGATCGGCAGAGCACAGCTAACGTACTGGCTTCGGTCCTGGTTTGCGAGGATGTGATCGTTGGCAGGTTTAGGAAGCAGATACGAGTCGGTCGTAGGCCTTGCTCTCCGCTGTGTAGCATCGAGTTCGGTTGACGGTCCGGATCGGTCTGGTCCTGATTAATTCGGCGTCGCGGATTATATACTTGACGCTTCTTTGTCTCCGCGCGTCGTACACGTGTGCGTCGCGTGCTCGCGGCGCTCGCTCGCTATTGTTTCCGCTGTGCTTGATTTCTCGCGTGATCTTCGCTCGCTTTGTTTATACTCGTTATCGTGTTTTGTTTGTCGGTCTTTCGGAGTTTTATTGTTGGCGCAACGCGCCGGTGCACGGCCCGACTGATGGTCGGTCGGGCCGGAGTAGTGACGATGCAGGTGTGCATCGTTACATGTCTGAAAAGCTCGAGGAATTGGAATCTTGCGTGAGTCCAACCCAACTTTCAAACTCTTCGTTTCGACATGGCGATACCATGTCATCGTTTTTGGTGTCACATCGACCGCCGATTTACATTTCCCAGTTTTCTAGTTGATTTGACGATTGAGAGAGTTTTCGAGACCAATTTACGTTGCTTATCATTAATAATCGCGAGTTCTCTGCGTTCGCTCAGATGCACTTTCTATCCAGCCTTGTTGGTCGCGCTCTGGAGACAATTACAAACATTCTCATTACCGCTGATAATTTCGAGATCGCATGAGAGTCTTACTTCACGCTATGAAAATAAACGTCGTCGAAAATAAACCGTCGTTCACGAAACAGCTGCGAAACTAAACAACTTGGACTGCGTTCAGATTCCACATCCGGGTGTATTCTATTACTAGAAGTGCTATAGCATATGTAACATATACTATAGTGTTTCTAGTAATAGAGTGCACCCGGATGAAGAATCTGAACGCACCCTTACGAAATGATGCAAATCGAGTATCGTTGAGAAACTTAAATCGCTGATTAAACGAAATTCTCAGTGATATACTCGTATATAGCGTATCTCAAAGATTAGATGCAACGACTGGTAAAGCACGGAAACTCAAATGCGGTGATGACTTGAACATTTCATTGTACGAAGATTTGGATCAATTTCTTTCCGCTCGCGCTCGGGTTCTCGAAGAATTAACCATTTTTAATAGCGGCAAATGCGTGCATCCGCACAAAATCTTGAATGTTACAGCGGCTACAGTCACATTGGTATCATGCCCACTTTGTTACTCGGCTTATTTTATAAACAATCTACATGGCATTAGATATTCTATGTATATATATGAAAGCTCCATGATGTGAAAAAACATCCTGTATATCCATTGCACATACATTTTATATACGTAAGATGAATATACATGACGATATATACTATATAAAAACATTAATGGTTTTAATATCTATATATTATATATAATGTCACATATGTCACAATGTATATTTCATGAATATA